CATGACCACGCCCCATTTAAGAGTGCTTTCTCCCCCTCTGGTGGCAAGTGCATTCTCTAGCGATTAAAATAAAATAACTTATCAAAAACTGATCTCAGAATTAAAAAAGCCCCAAATTGACTAATTTCCAAAGTGAAAATAAATGAAGCTCTCAAAGGTATGTTAAAAAATACCCAGATTGGGGACCAGCAGATGGCATAGCAGTTACGTCACTGGACTCCCACAGGGCTTAACTTGGTTCAAGTCCTAGACCCAGTGGCTTGAAAATCTCAGGTGCATGTGCATATGTGCCAAGATCCCAGGAAGAGATGGGATTGTGATGTGGCCATCACCCCCCACCCCCCCACCCCCACCCCTGGGGGTGATTTCTCAAGTACCTTCTCACTGTATCTGTCTGTCCCCTCCCTACTCCCTGTAAGTGTGCACGCCCTAAGGCAAAAAACCTCTTAAAAACAAACAAAAAAATACAGTATTTCAAAGAGAATTCTAACCAAGCCTTTGAGTAAACACACACTGGGGCCAGCTGCTGGCACAGTAGTTAAGGCACTGGATTCCTACATGACTGGCCATGGTTCAAGTCCTGGACCTGGAGGCTTGCTTTGTCACCCCACCCCTGTCGTTCTCTGATCAAATTAAAAAAGTAATAATAAAATAAATTAAAATAATTATTTAAATAAATAAACACACGCTCACATTATATATAATATTTATATATCTTATGCATATACACACATTCCCATTTATTTAAACTATTTCTAAGAAAAGGAAAATAACACTACCAAAAATCTTTTATGAAGCAAATGTAATACTGGTATTAAAAACCTCGTAATGACAATAACCATCTCTGGCCAATCCCCTTCATGGACATTAATGCTCGAATATGAAATAAACATTTATTAACAAACAAAATCCAGCACCATATTCTAAATAATGTATCACAATCATATGAAATTTATTTCAAAAATACATTGATATTTCAATATCAATTGACTAATATAACTCATCATATTAACAGTTACTAGGAGGGAAATCATATAATCCTCTCTACTTAGAAAGCATGCAATAAGGTGGCTGGATCCCACATAGCCTGCTGCACGGTTCCTGTCCTGGATCTGGTGGTGGCTGGAAAAACATACCAGGCATATATTAAGAAGGATGGCATAAGAATGGAAGACAAGAGAAAAAGGATTGTGGTGTAGCCATCCTCCCTGCGGGGTGCTTTCTCACTTTCTCTCTCTTTCTCTTTGTCTCTCTTAGAGGAATGCATTCATCCTCCAGCAAATTAAAAATAAACAAAGTACTTGCCAAAATTCAAGAGCCCCCTGGGGGTGGGGGTGCTTTATGCCTGTCCCTCTCTAGCTAGTGCACATGCCCACTAGCAATTTCAAAAATAAAATAAAGATAAAATAAAGATCTCCTAAAAATCAATTAAAATACCAAAACCAATAGAATAATTGCACGAAACAGTCTTGCACTGCCTAACGAGGTTTAGAACAAGTTCTAAACATGTTGTAAGTACATTCCACCAGCTTTACGTAAATACATTCTTTGAAGTTCCTACAACTACAAAATCATCTAACAAAGCATTTCTCAGAAAGTCTCCACATCATAAGGCAGCACATGACTGTGTATGAAAGGAAGTTTACAGAAAAGGATACACAAATAGATCTTTTGTGTGTGAGAAGATACATGACCTCGCTAATGAAAAAACCCAAGATAAAGTTACTTGGTGACAGGGCTAGTTCCATAGCCTAGTGGTTTGGGGGAGGGGGGGAAGGATCCCACATGGCCAATTGCATTTTGAATTTGGGCCCTAGCACTTGGGAAACACACTGGGTGCATGTGTATGCCCCACACAAAGAACCCAAGCTGCCTTTTAGTAAGTACAAAAAACAACTCATTAAAGATGTACAGTGATTGAGGCCAGCAGGTGGAGTGGTAGTTAAGGCGCTGGACTTCCACATGGCCAACCGCAGTTCAAGTCACAGACCTGGTGACTCATTTTCTCACTTACCCTTTCTCTCTGTGTCACTCTCTGGTCATATTTGAAAATAATAATAATAATTAATAAAGCCAAATAAATAATTTTTTAAAAGATGTACAGTGATTAAATGTAATGAAGATTTTTAAAAACTTATTTTCTAAAATTGTGATCAATAATGATTTTCAGTACCACTACAACCATTTCCAACACATACAGAAATTTTGTGAAAAATCTACAGAAGAGTAAAATACTAGTATTGCAATGGGAACAGCAAAGCTGTTTACTTGAGTACTTGTTTGATTTTTGTTCCAAATGCTCCCACTACATGAGAACCCCAGTGATGCTGAGGACATTGCTTGGAATGGGCGTGAGACACAATACCACTGGCGAGGCATCCTCCTCATCTTTCCAGGGTGAATTCCAAAATGGGTCCCCTGGAGCTAACAGCATTAACCGTAAGGGGTTCATGAATTAACAGATGCTAGAAAATTCAAGTTTTTGATCAAATAAGCAAATGCACTGCAACGATCAGCTACCTATAACTAGGAAAACACACATGGACACGGAGAGTGTAAGAACGGTAACGCTCGCCCTCGGTTCTCGTCTCTCCTTGGACATCCAGTTCTTATTTCCTAAGAGAAAGCGCTCTCCAGTGTCATCTGAAAAGCAAGGTCCCAAGGGCAGCATCCTCTGGTGGGATGAGTTCTTTGCACAAATGTAAGACAGCAGGGGTTCTAAATATTTCATTTTCATCGTCTTTCAAAGAGGGATACTAAGAGCACCTTTCTAACAGGGTTCTGATGAGGATGTGATGTGACAGGCAGCCTTAAGCATCCGGCTAAGGGCCTGGCCTACTTAGCAGACTAGGCAACGCAGGGCAGCTCTTCCCATCATCCTCCTTCTGTCCATGAAGCAAGGAAAACTGCCAGTAAGAGGAAGATACTCTACCCCACTGGCATTCAAGGGGATGAAAATGTACCAATGTATAGACATGGATAGAAAAGCTTCACTCAAACAGGAAAATAAATGTCTACATGAATGTGTTTGACAGGTTCCTACAAACAGATCACTACTATCAGCAAAAGGTGCAACTACAGAGGTTAAAAGGTCCCCAAATGTTAAAGCTCCTTGCCCTGCATGTCAAAAGCCCACCATCATCTTCTGGACAATGGAGGAGTACTTTTTCTGCAGTAAAAACAACTCTTCAGTTTTTAAAGAGAGATTTTTGCTGTAAGACATGTAGACTTGCCAGAGAGACACAGAAAGCAAGAAATCACCCCTCGGGGGGATGGCTACACTGCAATCCCTTCTCCTCCATTATCCTTTTGGGATTTGGGGCATGCTTGCACACATACTCAGCATGTTTTAAACCCCTGGGTCTAGGACTCGAACCATGGTTGGCTACGGGGGAGTCCAGCACCATGACCCTTATGCCATCTGCTGGTCCCTAGATCTTTTTTAAAAAGTCTATCAAATAGCACTCAATGAAATCAAGAAGTCTCAGAACTGTGATGCAATCTGGAAATTCCCAGTGATCAAACTCAATGTGTTAGACGTAGTGGTGAATTCAAAGAAAAAAGGAAGTCAAAGTATCTTGACCCCCTTGGGGCAGCTATCTCCTGGCCTCTATGAATATGGTCATATAGACAGACTCTTCCAGGATAGGAATGAGGCCAAAATAAACAAATTCTCCCCACTTTCATATGTAATTTCCATTACTCTGGTCAAAGGGCTTCAACGAAGGCATTTTCAGTCTATGTAAAGTACCTTGGCTGGCTTCCCACATTCTCTAATTTACTGCACATGTACTATGTACAGAAGTACTATGTTAGTGCCTCTACATATAGCACTTCCTTCTGTCCTCGCAACAGCCCTAAAACAGATGCTGATATATTTCTATTCCCAGTTCAGAGAGTAAAAACTAATGGCCAGAGAGCTTTAGTGATTCTCTACAGGTCTGAGTCAAATTTGCACCCAGACCTAACTAGACCTCAAGCTTTTAACCAGTCCCCTATGGCATCCTAACTGGCTTTTTTTTTTTTTTAAGAGGTTTTTGCTATAGGGTGCGTGCACTTGCCAGACAGACAGAGACAGACAGACAGAGAGACAGAAAGCGAGAAATCACCCTCCAGGGGGGATGGTCACGCCACAATCCCTTCTCCTCCATTCTCCTCTCAGGATCTTGGGCACACATGCACACGTGCCCAGCGTGAGTTTTTAAGCTACCGGGTCTGGGACGCGAACCGTGGTCAACTATGTGGGAGTCCAGTGACATAGTCATTACACTAACTGCTGGTCCCCTGACTGGCTTTTAAGAAGCCTATGGCCAGTCCTGTGGCCTAGCTATTTAAGGGAGCCAAATACCACGTGGCTGACCACGGTTTGAATCCCAACCCTGGCAGCTTGAAAAATACACCAGATGCCTATGTGTGCGTGCCTGGAATCCTGACAGCATGGAGAAATGCAGGGGAAGGATCACAGTGTGACCACAGTCCACTGGGGAGTGTTTCTTCCTCTCCCTTGCTCTGTCTCTAAGGTAAGTGCACATGCTCTCTGGCAATTAGAAAACTTAAAAAAAAAAAAAAATAGACAATGACCCCAATATGGTTATCTTAACTGCCATTGCAACCATTTAACATGGGTAACTTCTTTTTGTTGTTTTAAGAATTATTTATTTCTTCTTATTATTATTATTTAATTTGCTATAGGGCATGTATGCTCACCAGAGAGAAAGAGAGAGGCAAAATGAGAAAGCAAGTTGCCAGGCCCAGGACTTCAACTGTAGTTGGCCATATGGTAGTCCAACACCTCAACCACCATGCCCCCTACTGGCTCCTAAAACTGGTAACTTCTATTCCTCGTGACTCTTCCTATTTCCATTATAAAGTGAACACACCCACACAGACATATACCCCCTCAGAAGGGTGGACAGAAAGCCCCCGATGGAGGCCACACCGTCCCAGTACTGGATCTGGAGCAGCAGTGGTGGATGTGAGGGGGTGACGCGAGGAGGTACCTTTTCCGCGATGCCGTTTTCTGTAGTGTAGATTGCCATGAGCTCGGTGTCTTCATTGTCCTGCTCCCCACTGGACGTGGCGCCTCCATTTATCACCACCTGAAGAGAAACACTGTGTTTAGAGGTTGTTCCAGAGTGCACTATTCTGCACTGTGGAAACATTTTCACCCCAAAAGTCTTCTGTAATTCCTTTCAGAGACCAAAACTGCATGTTTCACCCATTCAAACAGCAACCTTCTGGATTTTCATAGCTGAAACTCCTGACAAGTGTGTGCTTCGGCAGTGACCAGCAGGCATGCATTTTTGGTGGATGAGACATGTGCTCCTTGTCCCACGTGGTCAGGCTGTATGAGCAAGAGGCTCCACTAGGGGAGACCAGAAGTGAACATCCCAGAGGAACTGTGCAGAACAAGACCCCAGAGCCCTGGAGGGCCAGGAAGGCTCAGCTGAAGGGCCCTGACTGAGCAAGCAAGAGTACCCTAAGCCGCCTTAGTTAAGACTCCTTCCCATGTGACCATCTGATAGCAACCTCTAACATGGCATTCCTAAGAGGAAGAAACAAATATTCTAATTAGAGCTTTTGGTATTTAGTTCTTTCTTGCTGCAATGACCTACATTCCACTGGCATGGACATTTGCTTGAGGCATTAAGGGATGAAAGGAAGGTCTACGTCAACAAAACCTAGTTTCTGGGCCCTCAAGGAAAGACCAGAGCTCATCCTTGAATGACATCAGAGGAGCTAGATGGGCCCTGGCAGGTCAGAGCCTTTTTCCATGCCCCCCCACCACCCACCCTAGGAGGGGCAGCATGATCGCCTTGGCTTTTGCCAGCCTGTAGCAAAAACCTGAAAATATTTTTACTCTTTAGCTAAATGGGTCCATTTCTAGATATCAATACTAAAGAAACAACAGTGAAAGCAGAAATGACTTTAAGTCAAAGGAAGTCATCACAATTTAAGTAAAATAACAACTGCTTATAAACCACTTAGGTTTTTTTTTTTTTTTGGAGAGGTTTTCACTATAGGGTGCGTGCACTCGCCAGACAGAGAGAGACATAGAGACAGAAAGCAAGAAATCAGGGGGGATGGTCATGCCGCAATCCCTTCTCCTCCATTCTTCTCTTGGGATCTTGGGCACGCATGCATGCACACACACCCGGCGTGAGTTTTAAGCCACCGGGTCTGGGACGCGAACCGCGGTCGACTACGTGGGAGTCCAGCGACATAGCCATTATGCTAACTGCTGGTTCCCAACCACTTAGGTCTTGAATACTACAAGGAAAATGATTTTTACGTGAAGATTGCAACATCAGAGAAAAATGCAGTGAATTGAATTAACTTACTTCTTAAGCACGGGTAAGTTAAATGTATGGGTAACAGCATCCATTTCATTTCTGGATTTACTTATCTCATGAGAGAGAAGGAGATATATACCCCTGCCAAGGTCTCACCACAGCACAGTCCTGCCCCAGTCAGCCAGGATCCCAGGCATTCTGAGCGGGTAAGAGTACATCCTAAGCCACTTTAGTTAAGACACCGTGTCTGGAGTGTTTGGGTTGCTCAGGGAATCAAACTAATGCTTCCCATGTGAAATCAGCATATACAGCTACCATGCTGGGGCCACAAACACATTTGGAAAAAATAGGTTAACAAAAACACATAAACGGTTTAAATGCTCCCACTGGGAAATGAATGAGAAAGAACCCAATGGTGGGCTGGCTTGGTGGGGCAGCAGTAATATACTATTCAAGCAAAGCTGGATCCATATGGAAGAGCATGGGTTTGGCTCCTCCGATCACGTGTATGCACAAGGCATGCACACCCACGATCCTGTCTGGCTAGGAAGGCTGGGACAGGATGGTGTGAGGATCATGGCATAAGACCTTGTTGGATCATGGCATAAGGTACTTGTCTTTCTCTCTCTTGTCTCTCGCACTCATAAAGGAAAGAAACTTTCTTTTTTTAAATTTGACCAGAGAGGGACAGAGAGAGAGAGAGACAGAGAAAGAGAGAGAGAGAAAGCAAGCCAGCAGGTCTGGGACTCGACCCATAGTTAGCCATGTAGGAATCCAGCGCCCTTAACCACCATGCCACCTGCCAGTCCCAGGAAAGAAACTTAAAAAAAAAAAGACAATTGAGAGTCTAAGAGAAAATACAGTACAGCATATAGAAGAGTCAGTATCAGTAATTCATAAAGAATACCTGTAAGTCAATGATAAAAACCACAATCCAAAGGAAATGGGTAAAAGATAAGACTATATAATTCACAGAAATAAAACATAAAATAAAACGCATGAAAATCTGTTACATCTCTGGGATAGTCCCAACAGACAAGTGGTTAAGGGAGCTAGATCCCACATATCTGGACAATAAGTAGTCTCAATTCAGACCCGGTTGGTGGCATAAAAATCACATTAGGGGGACCAGCAGTTAGCTGAACTCCATGTAGTCTACTGCAGTTCGAGTCCCGGACCCGGTGGCTTAAGCTCATGCCAGGCACGTGCGCGTGTGTGCATGCATGCCCAAGATCCTGAGAGGAGAATAGAGAAGGGACTGCGGCATGGCCACCCCCCCTGGGGGGGGGGGATTTCTTGCTTTCTGTCTCTCTGTCTCTCTCTGTCTGGTGAGCGCACGCGCCCTCTAGCAAAAACCTAAAAAAAAAAAAAATCACATTAGACATGTGTGCCTTGAATCCCAACCAGAGGGAGAAATGGAGGAGAAGGGATTTCAGGGTGACCATGCCCCACTGGAATGTGCTTTCTTCACCCCCAAATGCCACCTTGCCCTGCAAATACATGAACACTCTGGCAATTAAAAAAATTTAAAAGAAGAAGAAGAAGAAGATGAAGAAGAAGAAGAAATAATACTGGGTCTATGTAAAAGGCATCATGACTTTCCTGATGACCTAATATATGTCAGGGCACACCGACTAACATCTGGCATATTACAAGCTTTCAATAAAACTTAGCCTCTTAAAAAAAAATCTGTCCTATCTTATTTAAAACTACAGAAATGATGATCAACATAAAATTTCATTGCTTAACACAAATATGGGGGAAAATTTAAAAGATGAATCTAGTGTTAATCAGTGTAGGAACAGAACTACTCTCTTAAGTTCTCAGAAAGAATTTAAGGATTTTTTTTTTTTTTTGTAGAAAGAGGTTTCTGCTATAGGGTGCATGCACTTGCCAGAAAGCTAGAAATCACCCCCCAGGGGGGATGGCCTCGCCGCAATCCCTTCTCCTCCATTATCCTCTCGGGATATTGGGCATGCACACACACGTACCCAGCGTGAGTTTAAGCCACCGGGGGGAGGGAGGGACGGGGGAACCAGGCAATGGGATTTAAAATAGGCATCTTCTTGGATCCATCAATTTACTCAAAGAAAATTATTCTCCAGAAAAATCCACGCAAGTGATATGTACACTCATGGGTGACCACTGCAGGACTGTATGAAATGTTGAATATCCGAAGCTCTGAATGTTCGTCAAAAAGACAGACACTACTAAATGGTATAACCACTTAGAGAATAACATTCAGCCATTATGAAGAATAAATCTGCTGACCTGGTGGTTAAGGCACTGGGTTCCCATATGGCCGACCACAGTTCAAGTCCTGGACCGGGTGGCTTGCTTTGTCACTTTCTCTCTCTCTCCCCCCCTACTTCTCTCTCTAATGAGTAAATATGCCCTATAGCAAATATAAAAATAATAATAATGAGGGACAGCGGGTGGTGTGGTGGTTAAGACAACTGTACTCCCACATGGCTGACTGAGGTTCAAGTCCTGGACCTGGCAGCTTGTTTTGTCACTTTCCTCTCTATATATCTCTCTGGTCAACTTAAAAATTTTTTAAAATTAAATAATGACAATGAGGGGACCAGCAGTTAGAGTAATGCCCAAGATCCTGAGAGGAGAATGGAGGAGAAAGGATTGCGGTGTGGCCATCCCCTCTGGGGGGTGATTTCTCGCTTTCTATCTCTCTGTCTCTCTCTGTCTGGCTGGCGAGCACACGCACCCTATAGCAAAAACCTCTCCAAATAATAATAATAATAATAATAATGGCAATGAATAAAAGAAATAAAAATTAAAAGTTTAAAAAATAATACGGAAATAAACAAAATTAAAATAAAATAAAGCTGATACACTAACAACGAAAGAACTCCAAGAAATACTGTATCAAAAAAATACAAATCAATAAGCCTAGAACTATCCCAATTGTGCTTAAAAAATAAATTAAAATAACATAAGCTAGTATCTACCTTTGAAGACAGCCTACCCCTACCGCTTAAGAGTGTCCTTTCACTTTCATTCTCCTCTGCTTTGCACTTTCATTTTACTTTGCTATAAAACTTTATAATAACTTTTTTTCTTTCTTTCTTTCTTTCTTTCATTTTTTTTTTTTTTTTTTTGGGGGAGGTTTTTTCCTAAG